ACATGTCCTGTACCAGTCTAACATGTCCTGCTATCCTCATACATGTCCTGTACCAGTATAACATGTCCTGCTGTCCTCATACATGTCCTGTACCAGTCGAACATGTCCTGCTATCCTCATACATGTCCTTTACCAGTCTAACATACTTCTCTGCCACTCCAGATTTCCTCAATCAATACCACACCTCCTCCCTCGACACCCTGTCATATGCTTTTTCTAAATTCACAAAGACACAACGGAGTTCTTTCTGACCCCCACTGTACTTCTCCATCATCATCCTCAAAGCAAAGAGGACAGCAAGTTGTGAAATGGTTTGGCCAAACATATTTAATCATCATATTCCAGTCCAGAAAAATACTCTATTCCAAAACTGCACAATCTAATATTTGAGTCAATCCATCCATCCATCAATCCATTATCTTTACCCGCTTCTTCCTTTCCGCATCGCGGGAGTCACTGGTTCACATGTCCAGCAGTCACTGTGCGAGAGGCAGGGGACACCCAGAACAGGTCTGCAGTTCATCACAGGGCCATATAAAGACAAACGAGACAAACAACCATTCACTCGCTCACTCACACCTAGAGACAATTTAAAGTTACCAATCAGTCTAACATACATGTTTTTGATCTGTGGGAGGAAACTGTAGTACTCGGAAAAAAAACCCACATATGCACGGAGAGAACATGCAAACTCCACCCAAAACGATCCTTGGCTGGGATTCGATCTAGGGAACTTCTTGCTGAGAGGCAGCAGCTCTGCCAAATGTGCCACTGTGCCACCTCATTGTGTGGCTCATCAACTTTATTTCCCTGTAGTTGCTACAACTCTGTACATTGCCCTTGTTCTTAACAGTTGGCACCAGCACACTTCTTCTCCATTTCTCAGGCATTTTCTCACCCTCAAATATGCCATTGAATATTTGAGTCAAAAACCTCACTGCCATCTCTCCAAGACATTTCCAAACCTCCACTGGTATGTCATCAGGTCCTACTGCCTTCCTGTTCTTAATTTTTTTTCAGAGGTTTCCAGACTTCACGCTCACTAATTTTTCCCACTTCCTGGTCCACAGTTTCTATGACCTCTACTCTTCTTTCTCTTTCATTTTCTTCATTCATTAGCTCCTAAAAGTACTCCTTCTATCTTCCCATCATGCTCTCCTCACTTGTTAGAACATTACCATTCCTACGTTGCATCTCCTTATATTCCTGTCATATTTCTTCTTGGCAAACCTCTTTCTCCGAACATCTTCCTGCACTTCAATATTCCACCACCAGGTTTCCTTATCATCTATTATCTGATCAGATGACAAACCAAGTGCCTTCCTACCTGTCTCTCTAATTACTGTTGCTTTAGTAGCCCAGTCATTTGTAAACTCTTTCTTACCACTCTTATTTATTTATTTTCATATCATCCTAATAAAAGATGCAGTTATTTCAGATGTATCTCCCTGGTTGTGATTTTGTGTTTTCCAGGTTGTGCTACGGTAGTCCTGGTGACGAGTGCCAGCACAGGCGAGATGATGCTGCAGGTGCTGGTTGGATCAGTAAGGAACATTTTGTCTTCATCACAAACTTCTAAACACAGCACGCAGTTCGATTAAATCAAGGGCTCAGAATTCCCTGATATTCCTCACCATCTTTCATGATTTACAAACTGTTATAATCTGTCCAGTGTTTCATAAGATATTTCCTAACATACAAAGACTGCAGTTGGTAATGGTAAACTCTAGAGTTTGCCAAGCAGCATGTGCAAGACTCCATGGTCAAGTGATTCTCGGCAGTCAGCCCAGGTCAAGATTTGACGTGAGTTTTCTTGAACAGTTCTCTTTGTCACTCTCCCATGAAGCTCAGACTGGTGAAGAACTCGGGCAACAATTGATGTATGCTCAGTCTCTGCATCTCACTGGCTGAAGCTTGTAACTCCTTCCGAGTGCTCTAGTCCAGTGGTTCCCAACATATTTTCTTCAAAGCAGTGCACATATTTCTGGCGACCCCCAGATGATTGTAGTAACGGAAACGTGTACTCAGCCTCATCAAGTTTTTTTTTATCTAATCCTCTTGTTGTCATTGTGTGGGTTCTACCAGAGGGATGGTTATTTTTTTCAATTTCATGATCTATTTCCTCCTCTGTTATCAATTGGAAATTTTCCTGCTCTTCCTGTTCAGGTATCAAATGTCCTCTAGCAGTCATCAATACTCTGACAGGTTGTTTTCCTTGTGTATCCTGCAGCTCATGCTCTAATCTCTCCATTCTGTGCTCGCGATGTTTAATCATTTCTTTGCTGTGAGCCACCGTTCTTTCTAAGGTTTCTTTTATATGTTCTTCTATTTTATTCGCCTCTTCGTCCTTCCCTGAGCCCATGCTGTAATTTAAGTTGGACTGACTGCTACCCCCTGTTCCTCTTTGTTTATGAGTGGAAGAGGTGCAAAAATCTTTGTTTGGGGCCATGGAGGTGCTGAACAGGTCAGGCTTTTTAGGCTGTTCCTCCAACAGTCCACCTGATGGTGCTGCTGCTTGTCTAAATGGGTTGGTGTTGGTATTTTCTAAAACCAGCATCCCCTGTGTTAGTTTGTTGGTTCAATGGATGGGTGCAGCCCCCTTGGGGGGGGCGGGCGGTTCCTCCCTGTTAACGGAGGTCCCTCCCTTTGAGGCGGTCTGTTCTGGTACCGGATACGGGGAAAGAGACGACTTCACTTGCTGTGTGGTTGCTCTACACTTCACTTCCGGTGTTGCCTGCTGCAGAGTGTGTTTTAATCCCTTGCCATGACACGATTAATTTTTCACACTTTCTCAACTGTTTCTCCGCTTCTTCTCTGTCCGTTTTACATTTTCTTTTTCCTAGCCCGCTCACTTCTTGTTCTTTCTGCATTTTTTTTTTTTTTTTTTTTTTTTTTTGTTATTTCCTGTCTCAGCGTTTGCAGTTGTTTTGGTAAAAATCCTCCTAAAGGTTTGCATGAACTCAGTGGGCCTTCCTGTTTCACTACTACCTGAGTTATATTTATTTATTTATTTCTTTGTCAAGTCATCATGGTTCGTCCAGTATGTTACTTGTTTGTCGATCTGTGTTTCAAGAGGAACCCAGGTCCCTGTCCCCACCCCGAGTCGTCAATGTCTGCGTGAAATTCATCGTTCATTTTGTCACGTTTGTCTGTATAACATTATCTTTTACACAAAATGACTCGTTTTCTCACTTGACGGCAAAGCAATTTAAACAACCAAAATCACACTGCAAAGAGCTTCTCCTCAAACACACACACTCTCGCTGCTCAGCTCTTTCACTCACTTCAGTCACTCTCTCTTGTCCGATCTCGTTTTGAACAGCTTTCTGTTTGTTTCTCACAATCAAAAAATACACTTTTCTTCAATAATCATCGGAACCTGTCATCACCATTTAATAAGTTTCTCTGACAGTTCTCACACATGTGTGGTCAACTCTTGTTCTTATTTGTGAGCACTCACGTTCCACAGGAAAACTCAATCCAACCTGGCTACCTTCCCCCGCATCTAGGAAGAAGTTTGGGGCGCCACTCCCGACTGACAGAAGTCCCAGACTTCATTGACTCACACAGGGGTCCCAGACCCCTATAGGCCAGGTCCTCGACCTGCCTCTTTTAATCACAACTTGTATTTTCTAATCCTTACACAAGCTTACAACCGATATATTACTTCAAAAAACTTTTACACTCAATTTCTACTGACAAAAATATTTTACAACACGATCACTCCGTGCAACGCCACAGAGAGGATAAATATAGTTCTTCTTACCTGTTTGCTGGCCTGTGGAACTGCACTGAATAACCCGTGTTGATGTCCAATTTTCCGGTTACTAATCATCCTTCTCCAGTATCCCGGGTTTTCAGCACCAAAAATGTCAAGGATAAATCAACACAACAACTCAGACTTTTCAGCCTATTCACCTGTTCCTTTCATTGGTTCGGAGATACATGGAGAAAAGACACAATAATCAGTCAGAGAGATTCAAGTTAAAAAGTATTACCAACATTTATTAAAGCTTTCAGCTGAAAGGAGACACTCTTACCCCAAACCAACAGAGATACAGCAAAAACCCAAGACGCGTCTGACCGGAGCTTCAGTTTCTTCTGTATTTAAGCACAAAAGCTCCACCCAAAGACGTGTCACAAATCTTTCAGTTCTTTGTCTAAACTAGTTCAAACTGATGTCTTCCTTTCCTGGAAGTCCTTTTAACTGCTGTTCCAGTTTAAGTGTAGAAACATTGTGAAGTGTTTCAATGAACTTATCATCATCGCTCAATTTTTTTATTATTTTTTTTTTTATTATTTTTTTTTTTAAAGAAAGAGAAGAAAGAAGAATAAATAAATAATAAAAAAGAAGAAGATAAGACGAGAGACCACGATGACAAAACAACATGCACAGCACAATGCCACCCACAATATCACCATGAAACATTCGACATCGCACAAGGAATCATCTAGCTTCCGCCACTACCCAACCTAGCGTGCATCTGTCAAAGCACCTGAATCCAAACACCCGCGCAAGCACGCCCACCACCACCAGATTTCTCCAAAAGAATGCCCAATAGTGGACGCGGGGGCCCACAGACCCGCCCCCCCAGGACACAATGGCAACATAGGGAGGACCGGAGCCACAGACACACAGCGGCCCACAGGCCCGGAGCCCCAAGAGTCTCCCAACAGGGAGAACCGCACCCCCCCAGAGAGGAGCAGAGGAAAGAACCGGGTGACCCCAGCCACCACAATGCAGAGCCTCCAGGAAGCTGCAACGACGAGCCCACAGGCCCGGCCAGCGACCCATGCCCCCCCCAAGTAGATCCGGCCATGGACACCGAGCCCCAAGCCCCGAGGCCATACCACCCCCTAGCAGAGCCCCGACAGAGCCAGGGCACCCAGGCCCCGCCAGGCAGCAACCAGGGCGGACCGACGTGCACCCCACCACCCAGCCCAGACACCGAGAGCCACCAACGCACCGGCGGCAAGGGAGTCCCCCGCCAAAGGGGGGCACGACCGGGGGGAGTGGACCCCACACCAAACGTGGGGCCCAAATTGATCCAAGAGAGGGGGGACCACCAAAAACCCAACCCGAGCAACCAACAGGCACACACAGATAGCCCGACAGAATCTCTGTCGGGCCGACCGCATGCACCATCTACCTGACAGCGACCACAGGCCGGCCCCAGCCCAAGGGGCAGAGCAGCAGGGAGCCACAGCCGAGGAGGGCCGGCTCTCACATCAAGAGCTCCGCACCATAGGCCCGGAGACGCCCCAGCACGCCACCCATGCACCCCCCCACACACAGAGCACCCCCACCGCAAATGCCACACAGGAAGACCAGCCAGTGCCCGGATGAGACGAAGCCACGCCCCCAACCGCCGCCCTACACCACCAATGACCACACGTACACTACCATAGCCGACCCCCCGCCAAAAGCCGGCAGCCACCCCGGTCAGAGTGCCGTCCATCGCAACCAGGAACCTAGATTAAAAGAATCGGAACAGCCCAGGAGGAACCCAAGCACCGGCCCCAACACTGACCGCCCCCAAGGCCCAAAGCCCACCCGCAGCCCAGACACTTCACAATGTTTCTACACTTAAACTGAGCTCACAAAGAAAAAAAAAAAAAAAAAAAAAAAAAAAACTGCTGTTCCAGTTTGCTGGTGATCTTGTCATCAGGTGGGACAAACGCCAGCAGCTCCCTGTTAGTTCATGTCCCGTACACAATGAACTCAAATATATTCTCTGACTTAGTTCATTCTGTACTTGTTGATACCAAAAGACAAGCAGATCCAAAAGCCAAGCAGATACAAATAAAGGACAGATACAGTTGTGATACATCAAGCAATACAGCACAGTAGATAAGAGTGTCTTTACACCACCAACCCACAACATCCCGAGTTGAGGTCAGCAGCACACCACCTCCACTATAAATAGTGTTGGTGGCATACCCCGAGATGCCGGATGGTGGACCAGAATCACCTTGAAGCTGTACGGAAGTCATTCTCCATGGCCTCTCCGAACTCATCCCACTCCCGGGTTTTTGCCTCAGCGACCACCCAAGCCGCATGCCGCTTGGACTGCCGGTACCCATCAGCTGCTTCGGGGTCGCACAGGCCAAAAAAGCCCTATAGGACTCCTTCAGCCTGACAGCATCCCTCACCACTGGTGTCCACCACCAGGTTCGAGGGTTACTGCCGTGACAGGCACTGACAACCTTGGAGCCACAGCTCCGATAAGCCGCCTCAACAGTAGAGGCATGGAACATGGCCCACTCAGACTCAATGTCCCCCGCCTCCCCCGGAACATGTTCGTAGCTCTCCTGGAGGTGGGAGTTAAAGCTCCGTCTCACGGGAGACTCTGCCAGATGTTCCCAGCAGACCTCACAATACGTTTGGGTCAGCCAGGTCTGACCGGCATCTTCCCCTACCATCGGAGCCGACTTACCACCAGGTAGTGGTCAGTGGACAGCTCCGCCCCTCTCTTCACCCGAGTGTCCAAGACATGCGGCCGCAGATCAGATGAGACGACAACAAAGTTGATCATCGAACTGCGGCCTAAGGTGTCCTGGTGCCAAGAGCACAAATGGACACACTTATGCCTGAACATGGTGTTTGGTATGGACAATCCATGATGAGCACAGAAGTCCAACAACAGAGCACCACTTGGGTTCAGATCAGGGGGCCATTCCTCCCAACCACACCCCTCCAGATCTCACTGTCATTGCCCACGTGAGCGTTGAAGTACCCTAGTAGAACAAGGGAGCCTCCATGAAGCGCACTCTCCAGTACTCCCTCTAAGGACTCCAAAAAGGGTGGGTAATCTGAGCTGCTGTTTGGTGCATAAGCACAAACAACAGTCAGAACCCGTCCCCCCACACGTAGGCAGAGGGAGGCTACCCTCTTGTTCACCAGGGTAAACCCCAACGTACAGGCACCAAGATGGTGGGCAACAAGTATGCCCACTCCTGCTCGGCGCTTCTCACCGGGGCAACTCCAGAGTGGAAGAGTGTCCAACCCCTCTCAAGAAAACTGGTTCCAGAGCCAGAGTCATGTGTTGAGGTGAGTCCAACTATTTCTAGCCGGAGCCTCTCAACCTCACACACCTACTCAGGCTCCTTCCCCACCAGAGAGGTGACATTCCACGTCCCAATAGCCAGCTTCTGTAGCTGAGGATCAGACCACCAGGGTCCCCGCCCTCGGCCATCACCCATCCCACATTGCACTCGACCACTTTGGCCCCTCCCACAGGTGGTGAGCCCATGGGAAGTTATTTTACAATAAATAATTTAATTTAATTAGTATTACTCTGGGGGGGTTAGGGGAAACAGTGGTTAGAGATGTTGCCTGTCAGCAAGAAGGTTGCAGGTTTGCCTCCCCGGGATTTTCTCTTGGGTTTGTTGGTAACTTTAAATTGTCCCTAGATGTGAGTGAGACCTGTTCAGGTTGTCCCCTGTCTCTCACTTAATGACTGCAGAGAGAGATACCAGCATCCTGTGACTTGGAAAGGAGAAGTGGATGAAATTAAATTAAAAAATGAATGGATGAACAGATGGATGGATGGATGGATGGATGGATGGATGGATAAAACTGTAGAAATACAGTTTTATTTTGACATTGAATTTTTATTTATTTATTTTTTTTGTCAAAGTCTAGTTTTGAATCAACCCTGACGGTTTCTGTCAGCAGTAACAGCAGATCTAACCAGACTGAGTCAGGTTCTCTGGACGGATTCTTCTTTATTAAACGTTTCATCTTTAATTCAAAAGACTTCTTTAGTCTGAGGAGCTGCAATAAACTCGGTCTTATAAATAGCACCTTTTCATAGTGGATCAACCAGTTTGCTGGTGACAGCTAAATCTAGTTGATCACATGATAAAGGAGGACCATCAGCCTAACGACCTATCGTTAGCACCCTTATGGCCGCTTGCTATTCACAGAGGGCTGAGTGATACTAGCAATAACAGCATTGTAAGAGGTGGACAGTTTGACACAGAGGCCTGCACCCCTGGGCAAGTTCTCTTCACAAAGATGGCTTCCTTCACTCTTCTCTTAAACCAACGTTTCTCTCTATCAAGGATGTGAACATCTTCATCCCTGAAAGAGTGACTTCTGGCCTGCAGATGAGTGTAGACCTCAGAGTCCATCATAGGACTCTGAGGTCTACACTCATCTGCAGGCCAGCAAACTGGATGGCCCACTATGAGAAGGTGCTATTTATAAGAATGAGTTTGCTGCAGCTCCTCAGACTGCAGAAGTCTTTTGGATAAAAGACGAAACGCATCAACAAGAAGAATCTGTCCAGAAGACCCGACTCAGCCTGGTTAGATTTGTCTACCTGGATTATTGAGCATGTATCAGTAAATGCAGATAATCTGAAGTATTTGTGTTTCTTCCTGCAGGTGATCAACAGTCAGAGCAGTTACTCTTTCCTGGTGTGTTCTACAGTCACCTCTTTCATGGGCTTCTGTCTGTTCCTGCTGCTCCTTTACACCCGGCAAATCCACATAAACCTTCCAACAGGTGAATACATACCAAGCCAACACAGGTGAAGGAATGAAGAAAATCAGACTGCCACACAGTTTATCTGTTGCCTTTACTGTCTTTGTGGAGCAAAGCTTACTGTCTTTACATCTTTAAACTTGTACTGGAACCAGCTGGTCCTGTTCCAGCTTCAACTCCAAGGTTGCATTTCAAGGTCTACTATATTATCAGTGTTTGGCCAGAGTGCGCTCAGCTGTGGAAATAAGAACATTTATGAGAGGGGGTAATGCTTTATGCTGATTTTCTGTCCACATCTGCTCAGAGTTCATTGATTATCTGTGGGTTGAACATCTAAGTTAAAGTTGGAGTAAAAGTAAAAGTTTTGTACATGTCTAGATCTTTTCTAAACAATCCAGAGCATGTGGTTTAAAAAAGTACAAATAGCATTCACCAGCAACAGGAATATTGTCGTCATGTAGACACCGTAGTTCTTTGATTTATACATCACTGATTTTTACCACATCATCAAGTGGAAATAGAAGAACAGTCCAAACTTACATTTTTGAATGGGGGTAATGTGGGTGGGGGGAGACTTTATCTTTGTATACAGACCTTTCCCCCCCCAAAAAAAAATAGAATATTATGGAAAAGTTGTTTAACTTCAATAATTTCATTCAAAAAGTTAATCTTTAATACAAACCGGATTCCAAAAAAGTTGGGACACTAAACAAATTGTGAATAAAAACTGAATGCAATGATGTGGAGATGGCAAATGTCAATATTTTATTCGTAATATAACATAGATGACAGATCAAAAGTTTAATCTGAGTAAATGTAACATTTTAAAGGAAAAATATGTTGATTCAAAATTTCATTGTCAACAAATCCCAAAACAGTTGGGACAAGTAGCAATAAGTGGCTGGAAAAAGGAAATTGAGCATACAATGGACAGCTGGAAGACCAATTAACACCAATTAGGTCAATTGACAACATGATTGGGTATAAAAAGAGCTTCTCAGAGTGTCAGTGTCTCTCAGAAGCCAAGATGGTAAGAGGATCACCAATTCCACCATTGTTGCACAGAAAGATAGTGCAGCAATACCAGAATGGTGTTACCCAGCGTAAAATAGCAAAGACTTTTAAGTTATCATCATCAACCGTGCATAACATCATCAAAAGATTTAGAGAATCTGTAACAATCGCTGTGCGTAAGGGTCAAGGCCGTAAAACACTACTGGATGCTCGTGATCTCGGGGCCCTTAAACGTCACTGCACCTCAAACAGGAATGCCACTGTCAAGGAAATAACAGAATGGGCTCAGGAATACTTCCAGAAAGCATTGTCAGTGAACACAGTCCACCGTGCCATCCGCCGTTGCCAGCTGAAACTCTACAGTGCAAAGAGGAAGCCATTTCTAAGCAAGCTCCACAAGCTCAGACGTTTGCACTGGGCCAGGGGTCATTTAAAATGGAGTGTGGCAAAATGGAAGACTGTTCTGTGGTCAGATGAGTCACGATTTGAAGTTCTTTATGGAACACTGGGACGCCATGTCATCCGGACCAGAGAGGACAAGGATAACCCAAGTTGTTATCAACGCTCCGTTCAGAAGCCTGCATCACTGATGGTATGGGGTTGCATGAGCGCTTGTGGCATGGGCAGGTTGCATGTCTGGAAAGGCACCATTAATGCAGAGAACTATGTTCAGGTTCTAGAACAACATATGCTCCCATCTAGACGTCATCTCTTTCAGGGAAGACCCTGCATTTTTCAACATGATAATGCCAGACCACATTCTGCAGCAATCACAACATCATGGCTACGTAGGAGAAGGATCCGGGTACTGAAATGGCCAGCCTGCAGTCCAGATCTTTCACCTATAGAGAACATTTGGTGCATCATAAAGAGGAAGGTGCCACAAAGAAGGCCCAAGACGATTGAACAGTTAGAGGCCTGTATTAGACATGAATGGGAGAGCATTCCTATTTCTAAACTGGAGAAACTGGTCTCCTCTGTCCCCAGACGTCTGTTGAGTGTTGTAAGAAGAAGGGGAGATGCCACACAGTGGGAAAAATGGACTTGTCCCAACTTTTTTGGGATTTGTTGACACCATGAAATTTGTAAATAACAGATTTTTCCCTTAAAATGATACATTCTCTCAGTTTAAACTTTTGATCTGTGATTTATGTTCTATTCTGAATAAAATATTAGATGTTGGCACCTCCACATCATTGCATTCAGTTTTTATTCACAATTTGTTTAGTGTCCCAACTTTTTTGGAATCCGGTTTGTAGATGATAGATTCAGGGCCCAGAATTCAAATGATTTCAAGTATTTATTTGTTTATTTTCACATAATTTGGGCTTCCAGCTCATGAAACCTACGAAAACAGGATTTCAAAAAATTTGAATAATGTGAAGACATCAGCCAACTCTACTCGGTTTTTGCAGAAAAAAAGAAATTAGGATCACAAGAAATAAATCAAAATATGGTTCTTTCAAAAGGATATGTCAATCTTCAATAGTTGGTTGTGAATCCCTTTGTCTTAATCTCTGCCTCGATGCGACGTGGCATTGACTGGGAGTTATGGAAGCCCAGATTTCCTTGATGCTGTCAGATCTTCTTTGTTGTTGCATGTGGTGCTCGTCATTTGCCTCTTGAGAAGACCCCATAGATTCTCAATGGGGTTTAGTTCTGGTGAGTTGGCTGACCAGTCAAGCACTGTGGCATGGACATCTAACCAGGTTTTGGTGCTTCTGGCGGCACAGGCAGGGGCCAGGTCCTGCTGGAAGATGAAATCTGCATCTCCATACAGATCCTCAGCAGAAGGAATCATGAAGTCCTCTAAAACATTCTGGTAGACTGTTGTGGTGACCTTGGATTTAAGAAAGCAGAGTTTACCAACACCTGCACCGGACATTGCACCCCAAATCATGACTGACTGTGGATATTTCACACTGGACCTCAAGCAGTATGGGTTCTGTTCCTCACCCTTCTTCCTCCAAACCCTGGGACCTTGATTTCCGAATGAAAGACACTTTACTTTCATCAGAAAAGAGGACCGAGGAACCCAACAGTTGTAGCCCATCTCCCGAATGCGTCTGAATGTGGTGGTTTTTGAAGCTGTGACTCCCGCCTCATTCCACTCTTTCTGGATCTCTGCCAGATTCTGGATCTTCTCTGTTTGATGATCCTCTGAAGCCCACGGTCATCTCTTTTGATGGTGCATCTTCTCCTGCCACATTTTGCCCTTCCACTAGACTTTCCATTGAAATGTTTGGACACAGCACTCTATGAACAGCCAGCCTCCTTAGCTATGAACTGTTGTGTCTTACCCATCCTATGGAGGGCATCAATGATGGTCTTCTGGACAGTTGTTATGTCTGCAGTCTTCCCCATATTGAACGAACTGAGACAATTGAACCGAACTGAAGTAATTTAATGACACCTGGGGAAACGTGCCGGTGCTTTGAGTTTAGTAGAAGATTAGTGTCACACTCAGTTTAAAACATTCATGTCCTGCAACATTTGGCCTGATTTATTCACAGTGTTCTAATTTTTTGAATTCCTGTTTTTGTGGGTTTCATGAGCTGGAAGCTCAAATTATGTAAAAATAAACAAATAAATACTTGAAATCATTTAAATTGTGGGCCCTGAATGTATCTTCTATTAAAGATTAACTTTTTGAATGGAATTATGGAAGTTAAACAACTTTTCCATGATATTCTAATTTTTTAAAGGGTCTTTAGGTTGTCACCTGCTTTTATCCTTGGGGAGTTTATGTGTGTTTTGAAATGTAATGTAAGCCCCTCTTCACACTGGTTGACGACCTCAGTCTTCACAGGTCTTCAGTGGCGTATCAAAAACACCTTGCCCAGACTCATCCCAGTCTAACGTTCACAATGACGATTATCAGCATTTATGACAAATCTGTCCAAATCTACTTATCTTCATTTCTGAAGTGCTATGATCAAGTAATTTGTTCCTATACTCATTCGTTAGTTTGTAACAAAACATGAGTGAATAAAACACTGTGTTTTTGTCTAACAGGTCCTCTGGATGGATAAAAAATTTTTTTTTAATTAAAAACTTGTTGAAACGTTTCGTCTTGTATCCAAAAGACTTCTTCAGTTTAAGGAGCTGCAACAAACTCAGTCTTATAAATAGCACCTTCTCCTAGTGGATCTACCAGTTTGTTGTTGACATCCAAAACCAGCTGTTCACATGATCAAGAAGGACCATCAGTCTAACAATTGGTCGTTAGTGCTTTTAAAAGCCACTGGGACGTTATGTTTAGAAAATAAACGTCTCAGTTTCTCTGATACTCCCTCAACATATGGAATGACCACTGGTCTGGGTCTGGGTTCCTCCTTTTCACCTGTTGGCTGACTGGAGTCCTGTTTGGGTTTCTTCTCTGCTTTCAGGAAGGCCCAGTTAGGATATCCACATTGCTCTAGAGCCTGTCTTGTGTGGGATTTCTCCTTCTGCCTGGCTCCTGAGCTAGTGGGGACGCTGTCTGCTCTGTGGTACAGAGTCCTGATGACTCCTAACTTGTGCTCCAAAGGGTGATGGGAGTCAAACTGCAAATACTGGTCTGTATGGGTGGGTTTGTGGTACACCTCAGTTTGCAAAAGTCCTCTATCAGAAACTGAGACCTCACAGTCCAAGAAAGCCAACCTGCCATTTTTTACATCTTCTCGTGTGAACTTGATGTATTTATCCACAGAGTTGATGTGGTCAGTAAAATGTTGGACTTCCTGAGATTTGATTTTAACCCAGGTGTCGTCAACATACCTGAACCAATGACTTGGTGGTGTCCCTGAAAAGGACGTCAAGGCTCTCTTTTCTACCTCCTCCATGTACAGGTTGGCAACAATAGGAGAAACTGGAGACCCCATAGCACACCCATGTTTCTGCCCCCATATGTAAAACTGTGTTTTTGTCCTACAGCTGGGCGTGAGAACTTATCTTTAGGTCAAGGTGGAGTGAAGATGAAGCCTCTTTAAAAGTCTGGGTCCAGACAGGGTTATCATCCAGTGTCAAGAGGAGTCTTAATAATTAATTAGACGTTTTTAATCTGTTGATGACCAGATTATTTAATGGGTACAATAATAAAACATGATGTTCACCTTCCAGACTCCTCTACATACATGGACATGAAGGAGAAGCAGGAGGCTCCAGATCTACAGGTGCCTGAGTAAACAAACACAACCTCCCCCCGGTGTGTGTGGGGGGGTGTTGGGGGGTGTTGAAGCCTGATGATCAATGAGCAGCTCGGGGGACGACAGACTTTCAACATAAACTTTGGATTTTTCTCTTTTATATCTGACTGATGAGTTTTGTTTGTTTGTTTGTTTCCTGGTGGACATGAGAGAACACACAGAGGACGCAGTCAGTAACAGATTTCTTTTTAATTATTGGTCTCAATCAACCTTCCTGTTTTACAAACTTTCTGTAGCTTTTTGCACATGGATACACGGCGTAAGACGAGCAGCTTGTAAACATCTGAAACGCAGTAAACAAAGAGAAGAAGACAAAACAAGCAAAAACTGTTTGTTACAAAACTACCGGTGCTCTTTACACTTCAGGAGCAACCGACGGAGCGACGGGTGAAGGAGGAAACTTCTGAGCAGGCTTTGGGACCATTTTATACACATTTTATAATTTCTCTGTTCCCTTTTCTGTACAGTCTACCTGTGCCAACAGGCAGAATAATTAAGAAATATTCTGTGGTAGTGTCTAATCACAAATTGTTTTCTATTCCATATAAACATTAAAAGATTAGATTCATGTTTTTTTCATATAAAATACAAGTGCATATTTGTCATCTCTATGGGAAAAATAGATTTCTGCATAAGCAAACATTTGATCAGAGCACACCTGAGGCGTAAAAAAAGAACAGAATCCACGACGGGATCTTATTACATCATCTGCATGTACAATATCAACACAATATCAAAACAGTCCACGTAGAAAACACGTCCATTTCATCCCAGTAAGGCTTTGATTCCTAAACGTGCCAGGATCCATCCACAGGGCGCTGCGCCTCCAACAGATCCACCAGAGAGCAAGGACCGGACCCACAAACCCAGCGTGCACAAAGTTCACTTTAAACACAGACAACAGACGGCCCGTACAAAAATAGAAATTCTTAACGTTAAATGACAAGTGGAGAGTCCACTGGTCGTCTCCTTTGACACTGGGCTGCAGAAGTACTCACCCCGTTTTGTTGCTGACAGCCTGGAAAATAATTTGAATTTAATCTGACAATAAGCAATAATTGTCCAAATTAAAGAAGTTAAATGAGGGAAAAAATTATTTATATTTTTAAAATATATATATATATAGCTGGAAAGTGCTGTGTGCATAAGTACTCAGCCCCTTTACTTTGAAGCCCATCAGAAGCTGGTCAGTAAGATCCATCTGTGAGCAGTCTCTACCCGTTCTAATTTAATCAACACCAGGTCAACACCTACAGACAGCATGAAGACCAAGGAACTGTCCATGCAGCTCTAGGGACATGTTCCAGACCCCTGGACAGACCAGAGTTTCATTAAATCCATTATTGGGAAATAAAAAGATGATGCCACCGCAGCAAACCTGCCCAGAGAGGGCCATCCACCAAGACTCTGCAGATCATAGAAAAGTCCAGGAGGCCAAACCCTGATGGAGGTGGGAGCATCTGTCCAATGGACCTCTAGAACGTGCTCGGAGCTGGACTTCATGAAAGAGGAATAAGACTCTGTGTAGACAAACAGCTGGACTGATTGGAGGAAGGACCTGTGGTCTGATGAGACCAAGCATCAAGGATGACATCATGTCTGAAGTGAATCCACCACCTCTCATCATGCTGAAAACAGCATCCCTACTGTGAAGCACGGTGGTGGCAGCATCAAGCTGTGGGCATGTTTTCCATCAGCACAGACTGGAAACTCAGTCAAAGGAAAGGTGAATAAGTTTTTGAGAGGAACTGGTTCGAGTCTTCCAGAGACTGGGACAGAGGTCCACTTCCAGCAAGACAACGAGCCTAAACATCCTGCTGAAGAACACTCCCCTGGTTTAAGGAGAACCAGGTAAAGGTCCTGGAAAGGTCCAGTTGAAGCTCAGACCTCAGTCCAACTGAGAATCTGGTTTGAGTTGAGATCGTTGGACACGAGCAGCACCGTCCAAGCTGAAGGAGCTGCACCAGTGTGGACATGAACATGGACAAAATGTCCAGAAGTTAGTTAGACCAGCATCACAGAGGCGGACCTGAAGAGACCCGATGCTGGAGCTGTTGCAGAAGGTGGAGACACAAGCTCTTGAGAACATATGAATACAGGTGACAGGTTTTTATCTTCGTATAATTATTACTTCTAAACATTAAAACTCGATTAGGTTACACAACGTACGGCAACAAAACAAAGAATTTCAACACAGTAGTTTTTTCAAGCCACTGCAAACAGAAACCACTTGATGTTTGAGTGGTGGGTTGAAGGCGGGCGGGTCTGGAACATGGTCTGACAGAACCGGTCCATGGTGCTGTCTGTAGGGGCAGTCCAGAGGAGCACGGTCCCACGAATACATGGCATCAAAACTAACGGGGAGCACCGAGTCTGACATGGCTCAGTCTGTGGAGGAGATTGTTCCACACTAGAGTTGGACTTGGCTACGTAAGGCACCGGTTCCATCAGGGTCCACGGGTCCGGAACAAGACTCATTTCTCTTATAGCCCTGGCCTCAACGATGACACTTTGGTAAAAAAATAAACACAACACAGTTTGCTCTTGTAAAGTATCGTGTAAACAAGTGATGCACAAATAGCACAGAAAGATCAGGCGTCTGGCTTTAAGCCCAGTTCCAAAGCATGGCTGGTCATCTGGGAGGAGCTCCGAGGGAGAAGGTGCTTCAGGATCCCAAAGGAGTAAGACTGACACAGTCAGAGCAAAACATGACGACGAGCATTGTGCTGAACCGCTGCTCCTCAAAGTCCTGGAGGTGGGAGGAGCATATTGGAGTGTCTCCTAGAACATGCTGCTGATCTTTAAATCATGAATCCACAAACTAAAGGCCGTGATGTTTGATAACACAAATCCTTCTGGGGTCCACGCTGCAAAGGATCGTGGTTCTGGAGGTGCACAGGTTTGGCAGCATACAAGGCCAGTGGTCATAATGTTTTGGCCCACTGTGCTTCAGCGGGTCGCTGACGGTAATAATGTAGAAACTAATCAAGGTTCACTACCTGCACCGATTCTGTCAAGTGCCTCGGCTGAAACCTGGAACAGAACGACAGAACGTCTGGGCTTTGTCCAGGAGTCCAATCAGTGCTTGGAATTAAAAATGATGAGCCTGGGGGGCGGGGGGGTGTCATTCCACTGGAGAAACCATACCAGCTGGGAGGTTACTGTATTTACTGTACTCAGGGTTAGCAACGTACCAACAAAGTACTAAGTACTAATAGGACACGAGTCAGCCTCCACAGATATGACCCCATCACGCAACAGTTCCCTGTGTTCAGCTTGAACCCACAGATCAGACAGACCTGGGTCAGCTCAGCATCATGAAGTCATGGTGCTTCCAGATGTGTCACACAGACAGCTGTTAACCACAGCATGATGCACCATGGTCAGGAGTCCTTTAGAAACAAGCACTTCTGCCATCTTACTGACTGAAGGCTCTCACGCGAGTTCTTCCCTCCGACTGATCCACAGTTAAAGCCAGCGCAGGTTGTAGGATTGTCAAAGCTCCACACAAGAACACTGCAGGAGCGCCGTCATGTTAGCTGTGCAACACGACACAGACACTGATCTTACATCAGGCATGAATTCAAACAGCACCGCCCCGTGATGTTAAACTGTTCCTGAAAACACATCAGATGACAGAAGCAGCCTGCCATGTGACCTGGACCAGGGCTGCCTTCATCAGGGACCAAAGAAATTCAAATGGCAACCTGCAGGAACGAGCTGAAGCTTTGTGCCGTTTCACAAAAAACATTTATGGCTTCGCTTTCGTTCATTCCCACAGGAAAGCTTACCAAGTGAAGGTAGAGCAGGCCACAGTGGCATTCAGGATAACACACACACACACACACACACACACACACACACACACACACACACA